TTTGAACTGTGATGTTGGAGAAGACTCTTGAGAGTCCCTTGGACTGCAACGAGATCAAACCAGTCAATTTTAAAGGAAATCAGTCCTGACTATTCATTGGAAGGACTGATGCTGAAGCTGAAGCTCCAATACTCTGGCCACCTGATGTTAAGACTGACTTTTTGGAAAAGACCCTGGAAAGATTGAAGGCAGGAGAAGGGGGTGACAGAGGATGAGATGGTTGGATGGCATCACTGACTCAATGGACATGAGTTTGAGTAGGTTCCAGGAGTTGGTGATGGACAGGGAAGCCTGGTGTGCTGCAGTCCATGGGGTTGCAAAGAGTTGGACATGACTGAGTGACTGAACTGACTGAATACAAGTCTTCAGACAAATAGGCCTTCAGTCTCCTGCCAGGACTTCAAACCTGCCCATGTTGGCATGAAGCCCAATGATGGCCTTGGCTCCAGTTCCTTCTATTACTGCTAGAGGATTCATTATCAAATGTACAAAGTTATTTCTGGTCCTAATTTTCCCAGTTACCAAGAGATGGATCTTGGTTGCCAGCTGTACGACTGTTACCTCTCTAAGACTCAGTTTCCTCATCTGTAAAATGAGGTAACAGTTATAGCCACATCTTGGGGTGGTGGTGAGAATTAAACAAACATATGTGCTTAGCCCAATACTTCCCATGTAATGAATCCCAAATATATGCTGCTGTTAGAGTATCTGGATTGGCCTGAAACGCAGGCCAACCATCTCAAGGGTCCTTAACAGAGAAAGGCAGAGGGAAGTTACATACACAGGAGAGGAGAAGACAATGTGACCACGGAAGCAGAGGTTGGAGCCGTGATGCCATGAACCAAGGATTGCTGGAAGTCACAAGAAGAGAGAGGCACCTGGATTGCGGTCCCTAGCACTAGAGGGGAGAAGAGAGGCCATTGAGAGCGCTATGCTATTCGAGGCCTGCAGAACCCTGGGCTTTAGACCATGTGGTTGACTGACTCCCTCCCTCTGGATGCCCAGAGGCATGGTTTGGAAAGACAACTTGCTGGAAATGTGTGAAGGAGAGTTTGGTGGAAATTTCCAAAAGCCAGAAGCTAAAGATCTTCTTTAAGAAAAGGAAGAAAATATTCTCTGAGTGAACTTCATGTTGGCTTGTCTGATTTCACTATGTCCTATATTCAAAGTTTACAAGATTTTGTATGAAGGGTTATTTTTATTCATTTACATAAACATAGGTAAGGGGGCTCCCCTGGTGGTTCAGAATCTGCCTGCAATGCGGGAGACAAAGGAAATGCGGGTTCTGTCTCTGGGTCGGGCAGATCCCCTGGAGAAAGGGATGGCAACCCACTCCAGTATTCTTGCCTGGAGAATTCCATGGACCAAGGAGCCTGATGGGCTACAGACCATAGGGTCAAAAAGAGTCGGACACGGCTGAAGCGACTGAGCATGCATGCAAACACAGGTAGGAGTCCATCTGCTTAACAAGTGAATACCTATTGGCGCCTATAATTGGTATGTTAACTTCACTGATAGCTCTTTGCATTAAGATTGCTTCTTTGTCTGCAGGTTGTATGCATCTAGCACATGACCCGAGTATAGTAGGCTCAGTAAATATGTTCTTCCTGAATGAAGAATGAATGTGTCCAGGGTATCATGCAGACAGATTACAATGCCAGATACTGGGTTTAGACCAGCCCGGGAGGGGCTTATGGTTGGCTGGTGGAGTTGTTTCCCACTCACTTTAGAGGCCGTCACTTTAAGTCAGTCCCAGTCCTAGAAAGGAGCAGAGCCTAATTTAAGCCAGGTCCCCCGACTCCCTATGCTTTCTCTAATACCCTCATGATAAACCCTTTTCAGAAACCATGTACTTTGGGAACAGAGGTACTGCTATAAAACCTGTCTAGAATATTTAAATTGTGGTTATCTTTCTAAATTCAAGCCTTTGAATGTCCAAGTGTCCATAGTATTGCTTTTTGTTCCTTCCATCAATTTGCTCGTTAACTCAACATTGCTGTTGTTATTCTCCATTTTTTAAAATCCTTCCTAAATCTTGATGAGAGACTGTGTAGATTCCAAAGCATTCTATTATTTCAAACAAATAAATTTAAATATTTTTTTTAAGGGTAAAAAAAAAAAAAAAGAATCATAAGTGTGGTAAATTCTATTAAGGAGACAAATAAAACTTTGCCACAGATTAGTCCTTGAAATGGAGAAGGAAATGGCAACCCACTCCAGTCATCTTGCCTAGAGAATCCTGTGGATGGAGGAGCCTGGTGGGCTGCTGTCCGTAGCATCGCGTAAAGTCGGACATGACTGAAGTGACTTAGCATGCATGCATGCATCAGAGAAGGAAATGGCAACCCACTCCAGTGTTCTTGCCTGGAGAACTCCAGGGACAGAGGAGTCTAGTGGGCTGCTGTTTATGGGGTCGCACAGAGTCAGACATGACTGAAGTGACTTAGCAGCAGCAGCAGCAGTCCTTGAAAGCTGGACTGTGGAATTCTAAAACCTAAAAATAAAAAATTCATGAAGAGCTACATCAAGATGACATAGATTCTGCAGACCTTTGCTAACATATAAGAAAATTACAGACACTGCCAGTGAAAATAGAGATCAATCTTTCATTGTCAAAGCCACGAATGGCATTACTTAGCAATACAGTAGCCTCATAAGATAATTAACCTCACAGTTCCACAGAGTTAAAAAGTTTGTAAACACAATATTAAAAAAAAATAAAATTAACAGGTGCCTAAGGAGATAGGACAACCAAATATAACGTGGTATCCTAAATGGAGGGACTTCCCTTGGTTGTCCAGTGGTTAAGACTTCATGCTCCCAGTGCAGGAGGCCCAGGTTCCATTCCTGGTCAGGAACTATATCCCACATGCCACAACTAAAGATCATGAATGCCACAACTAAGACCTGGTGCATCCAAATAAATAAATTTTTTAAAAAGAAGAGTAAAAAATATCCTGAATGGAATACTGAAATAGGAAAAAAAAAAAGAAGGAAATCTAAATAGGCTACAGACTTTAGTTAATAATGTATCAAGATTGGTTCATTAATTGTAACAACTGTACCATACTAATGTAAGATGTTAATAACAGGGGAAACTGGGTGGGGCTATCTGCATGATCTTAATTTTTTTATAAATCTAAAACTGTTCTGAACAAAATCAAGTATACTTTTAAAATATATATATAAGATGGCTTCAGGAATTATGGTGGAAGGAAGGGAAGTTAGTAACAAACTTAAATTAAGAAATGATAAGCCATAAAATGTGAAATAAAATATAACTCAAAAGGGACTTCCCTGGTGGTCCACTGGCTAAGACTCTGGACTCCCAATGGAGGCAGCCCCAATTCGATCCCTGGTCAGGGGACTAGATCCCACATGCCACAGCCAAGAGTTTGCATGCCACAACTAAAGATCCTGCATGTGATAATGAAGATGGAAGGTCCCTTGTGCAGCAACTAAGACCCAGCACAGCCAATAAATAAATATTAAAATACAACTCAAGAAATTCAAAGGAAACATGCAGATACTTAAGTTATGATCTCTATTCATTCTAAAATCTTTCTAGGACAGAGATCAATGGATTTTTCATACAAACTAAATAGCTCTGCATCAAAACACAGGACAGGCAATAATACCCTTGGAGTGCACAATAAGTATTTTAGATCCCTATTTAACAATAGTGACTAACAGACTATATTTTATGTATGGCACTGTCCTGAAATTGTCATAAAATGCCTGGACAAGAATCAACCTCATAGGTCTAACTACATTATTTCCTTCAAGAAACAAGTTTACTTATTCTGTTTTCCAAGTCTCCTGTAAATGTATCAAACTTTGATAATTAAAAAAAAAAAATTAAAAACAGAATGAAACAAGTTTATATTTACTTTAAGAAAAAAAAGCAGATGAGACCTCGTAAGGGGGCAGGGAGAAAAGATCATGTATGAAAGGAGAAAAATTATTTCCCAGGTCTAACTGAAAGGAATACATAAGGCAGTACATACTTAAATCTAATTGAGATAACTAGATAATGAATGTATTCCTTCTCTATTACTCCTAATCCCAAAAGAAATCCTACAAAACAAAGATGTCCCTTATTCTAAAGTCTTCTCTTACAGATATCTTAAATATATAATTGGAAAATACTCATGAAGAAATGGAATAATTAACATTTCCCCAGTAATTCTTGTTTGCACCACTCTGAGGAGAATCAGATACTGCTTTGTGTTGAGACGAGAAAAAGGAGAGGAAAGGTATGAAAAATTCCAAGTAGACCAAGGAATTACACTGCACCATGACTTCCCCTGTGGTCCAGTGGCTAAAACTGCACACCCAATGCAGCGAACCTGGTTCAATCCCTGGTCAGGGAACTAGATCCGGCATTCCCTGCCACAACTAAGACCCAGCGCAGCCTAGTAAGTAAAATAAAAATAAACAATTTTTTTAAATTGCATCTGGCACAGATTGGGAAAAGCATCAACGCTGCTGAAAGAACTGTCAAGGATGCAAGTTAAGAGAAGGAAAGGAGGTTTTCCAACAGGCCACAGCCTAATCCCAGGGGTAAAAATCGCCACTGCCCCCACCGCTCCCTCACTCCCCAACCACTCCATCCTCAAGTCGCCTCCAATCCAAATATACATCCTCCATGGTTGGTGCTTTTAGAGGCTAAGTCGTGTCCGACTCTGCATTGCAGGCAGATTCTTTACCGACTGACAAGGGAAGCCACATCCTCCATAACCCACACCAGCTCCCCATCCAGGTGGAAACAACATAAGTAGCCCCCAGGACCTCCACTTCCCTCCTTCCACAAGGCTCTGGGGCCAAGGCTCTGGGGAAAGCAGAGCGCAGACCGCACCCTCCCTGAAGGACGAAGAGGCCGGATCCGGAGGGGGGGCTTCCCGGGTGGGCGTCACGGAGCTGACCAGCCGGGCTAAGAGCCAGGAGCTGGCTGGGGTTCGGGCTGGGAGCGGCGGTGAGTGAGCCCACGTGCCCGGAAGGGACGCTCGGGCGGCGGGGGCTGGGCGCGGGGAGGCCCGGGTGGCGGGAAAGGAGCCGGCGGAGCCGGGGACGCGAGGTCGAAACCCGCCGGCGGCCGAGAGGGGTGGGTGGACGCGGGCGGTGGCTGGGGGTGGAGCCCGGCGCGGGGAAGCCGCGCACTCACCGTGCTGCGCCCCCGCGAACGCCGGCTGGAATCTCCTCAGCGGCGTCCGGAGGTCTCCGCCCGCGGACGGGAGGGAGCTGGAGGAGCTGCCGCCGCCTCAGCCCGCGAGGCGTCCCGCGCGCCGACGGAGAGGCTCGCGGCAGGGCGGGCGCCGAGCTCCCGCGGCCCCTGCAGGCCGGGCGGCGGGCGCGGCTGAGGGCAGGGCTCCTCTCTACCCAGGCTGGCAGCCCTCGGCGTCGTCCGGCACCGAGCGGGGCCTGCGGCTAGGAAAGGAAGGAGGGAGCGGCTGGAAGCAGCCAGGGGCGCGCTCGGGGTCCCGAGGCTGAAATCGCTGCCTCCTCAGTGTCTGGTCGCGACACCGCGGTCTGGGCGGCGAAGCCTCGGCGGCGGCCGCCAACTACGCCCCGCGGAGCGAGCGTCTGGTTATTGTTTCTATTCTTACAAAGTCCTTCATCCAGATTTAGTTATCTACCTTTTTTTCCCCAAGTTTTTTTGTTTGCTTTTTTTTTTTTAAGTGGAATTATTATACGTAATGCTCTAAAGCGTCTGGAAAATATTTTACACTACAGTATAAAGTGTAGATCTAAACCGATCCTCCTCTGATTTCTGGCCAGTTTCTCCAACATCATTTACTACATCATCAGTCCCCTCTTCTTTTTTGGTTTGTGAGCTTTCTTTCTCAATAAATTTGTATATTATTTTGTATGGCTTCAGAGCTTATTTTTTTTCTTGATTGAATTGCCCATTAGTTCTTGTGGATGCAGCCTGATTTACTTCTTTGTTTATAATACATTTACTATCTAGCAGAGAAAACTTCCCCTCCTCATCTTAGTTATTTTTCTTTTCCAAAAATTTGTAAACTCACTTGCTACTTTTCCAGTGATATATGGCCAGGGACATTTTTGTCAATTTAAAAATTCTGTGTCAATTTCTTTTGAATTTTAACTGGATATATGATGGATTATGAATTAACAGAGTTGACATTTTTTTCATGGATGTTTCTAAATTGTCTCACATCTTTTGTATCATTTATGGTTCTCATGCATTTCTTCTTAGGGGTAACTAGAATATTTAAAAATTGCTATCGTGGCTAGGATATTTTCTTCTATTATATCTTCTAATTGGTTATATAGAAATACAGTAAGTAGAAAATTAAGTAACAGTGAATAGAAAAATGACTTTTTTGGTGTACATTTATTTGGCACACAAACTCTTGTGTTATTCTGAGTTTTTAGTAGGTTCCAATTTTCTGGCTGTATTTTTACAAGTGATAATAATATTGCCTTCCTATATCTATATCTGTATCATCCATATCCATATCTATAAAGGATTTCAATATGAAATGAATGAAAATATGAAATGGAGAACCTCACACATGTGCCCTCAGAATAACAACTTCAGAACAGAGAGTCTGGGACTTCCCTGGTGGTCCAGTGGTTAAGAATCCACCTTGCATTGCAGGGGACTCAGGTTTGATCCCGGTTTGGGGAGCTAAGTTCTCACATGCTGTGGAGCAATTAAGCCCACATGGCAACTGCTGAGGCCACATCACAACTAGAGAGTCAGTGTGCCCCAAGGAAAGATCCAGTCTGAACTTAAGTATTTTTTTAAAAAAAGAGAAGAGAAATTGGTTTCCATTAAATGTCTGATTTACAGGAGACTGAGACATCTTACCAATGAACATTTGTCAAGAATCTCTCCCTGTTCTCAGGCCAATAAGCCTACTGCTTCGTCTCTGGCTGGACTTCCCCGTCTTTGCACTCCTTGCCCATAAATAGACTCCTTCCCAAACCTTCAATTAATTCAGCATGTACAGCATGCATTTCCCAAATTGCAATTCCTCTGCTACTCTCAAATCTAAAATTTCTGGTAATTTGAGATTGCCTCAGTTTACCTCCTTATTTAGGTTGACATTCCATGGTGTCGGAAGTGGGGTCCAAGGGAGAGCACCTCAGGAGGGACAGTGACTCTCATCATTGAGCAAGTACCTGTGCTGGGCCCCTTGTGCTCAGGGCTTCTTAGAGTCACCTCTTCTGGCTTGATGAGTCTGCTCTTGGGTTTCAGGCTCCCTCCCTTAGGTCAGGCTCTCCAGATTTATTTAGGATTTGGATAAGGACAGATTGTCCTTCCAGTGAGTGGTCTTTTAGTTTCTGAATTAGAATACATTTGGATTTTCCTGAGAGCAAACCAAAAACTATGAGAGACAACCGTCCTCAAGGCACAAGACTCCTGTGTGAGAATAAGGTGGTCACAAGTGAGCAGATTTCCCAATAGGCCACTTACCACTCACAAGAAAATTTCAGGTAACAAGGGACACCTGGGCACAGGTTGGACAAAGAGAACAAAGGCTGTCTGCCAGAAAAAAGAAGTATCCCATGAAAGGCACACTGTGAAACAAAACTCAAGTCCCAACCCTAAGCATATCCCATTGGCTATCCAGGACTTTTTGTGTTTGCTCTTGGGGAAAAACTCCAAAAATGGATCCTAGTCATCTAAATGCTTTAAGGTTGGCCCCCTTTTAGGATCCCCAGCCAGTTTTATGTTTAAGAAATTACAGTGTCTCCACATGTGAATGGACTAATCTTACTGATGACAACCTAGAATTACACTGGCCACTATGAAGGCTGTTCCAATTAGACAAGATCATTCATTTAAGAGATGTGCTTGAAGGCAAGTGTTCCCGAATCAAAGAGGATGGATACATATTTTAGTTAGTATGCAGATGCCTCCAAAAACTTCAAAATTCCAAAATTTGAAAACTGCATAGAAAGATTCATTGGGAAAGGCTAATAAAAAATTAAAGATATAAGAAGTACCTATAACAAAAGACTATGAGACTGATGTAATGCCTACTGCTGCCCTCTGTCTTCCTTGACTTGGGTATTCATTCTGCTAATTCTCATCTGAATTGCCTTTCCACTCAAGAGACTACAGGACTGTAAACAAAAATCCACTGAATTAGTTATCCTCATATCTACCTTCAAAGAATGGCCCCCACATGTGTCTGTCCCAGATTTGACAGGATTCTGAGGGGTTTTCTGGTAAACTGCTACCGATTATTCACTTAAATAGCCAAGGGGAAACTAAATTGAAGAGTAATGGAGGGAGTTCCCTGGTGGTCCAGTGGTTAAAACTCTGAGCATCCAATTCAAGGGGCATAAGTTTGATCCCTGGTCAGGGAACTAAGAGCCCATATGCTATGTGGCATGGCCAAGAAAACAAACAAAAGTAATGGATAGCCTTGCCAAATTTTGGTAAATACCAGAATTATACTATATTTTAAATCCCACTCACTTTGGGGCCTCCGAATTGGATCCTAGGAAAACTGGCAATGACCAAGTGAAGGGTCAGAATTCTTTTAGAGTCAGCTCTCCTGAATCTGTCTATCGCAAGAAAGAGAATAAAATAAAATTTCATGTTGTCCCTTCCTTTTGGAGTCCAGATCCATTGGTTATTGATCTTTTCTCTCCTGAGCTAGCTGTTAGCTTCTTGGTTGTTTCATTTTGTGTCCTGAGAACGTGGCATGGCAATCATCAGGTTGGGGATCCCAAAATATGGCCAGACAGAAATGTCTGTTGCACCCCATTTGTGACTAGGTATGGCTAGATAGGGGACTTCCCTGATGGCTCAGATGGTAAAGCATCTGCCTACAATGCGGGAGACCTGGGTTCAATCCCTGGGTCGGGAAGATCCCCTGGAGAAGGAAATGGCAACCCCCTCCAGTAATCTTGTCTGGAAAATCCCATGGACGGAGGAGCCTGGTAGGCTATAGTCCATGGGGTCACAAAGAGTCAGACACAACGGAGGTGACTTCACTATGGCTAGATAGAGATGTGGTTTCCACAGCATTTGCAGCTAGAATCCTTTTGCCAGCCCTCAGGAGAACCATCTTTCATTTATGTGGTTATCTTTGGGGATGGCTCTGGATCCTGGGAAGACAGTCCCTTTTGCACTCTCTTCAGGGATGCCTGTATGTGTTTATGCCATATATGTCTTTCTGCCCCTGAGGAATCCTGCTTACTGCTGAATGTGGTATCTTTTTGCATGTGTTCTTACAAAGCTGGCATTGTTGTCTTTCCAGTTTGTATTTTTAATTTACATAATGTTATTTGGTACATCTCATTCTGTTTTTTACTTTTTTCCCCCCGGTAAACACTACATCTCTAGTATACTTCCACATTGCTATTGGTTGCTTCAAATGTGTAAATAATTCTCCAGGGTGTCCATCCGCTACCTCTTATCTGTCCTTCTTCCAGGATCTTTCAACTCCCTGCTACCACAAATGGTGCTGCCATGGATATCCTTGTTTCAGTTCAGTTCAGTTCAGTTCAGTTCAGTTCAGTCGCTCAGTCATGTCTGACTCTTTGCGACCCCATGAACTGCAGCACACCAGGCCTCCCTGTCCATCACCAATTCCCGGAGCCTACCCAAACTCATGTCCATTGACTCAGTGATGCCATCCAATCATCTCATCCTCTGTTGTCCCCTTCTCCTCCTGCCTTCAATCTTTCCCAGCATCAGGGTCTTTTCCAATGAGTCAGCTCTTCGCATCAGGTGGCCAAACTATTGGAGTTTCAGCTTCAATATCAGTCCTTCCAATGTACACCCAGGACTGATCTCCTTTAGGATGGACTGGTTGGATCTTCTTGCAGTCCAAGGGACTCACAAGAGCCTTCTCCAACACCACAGTTCAAAAGCATCATTTCTTTGGCTGTCAGCTTTCTTTATAGTCCAACTCTCACATCCATACATGACCACTGGAAAAACCATAGCCTTGACTATATGGACCTTTGTTGGCAAAGTAATGTCTCTGCTTTTTAATATGCTGTCTAGGTTGGTCATAACTTTCCTTCCAAGGAGTAAACGTCTTTTAATTTCATGGCTGCAATCACCATCTGCAGTGATTTTGGAGCCCCAAAAATAAAGTCAGCCACTGTTTCCACTGTTTCCCCATCTATTTGCCATGAAGTGATGGAACCGGATGCCATGATCTTAGTTTTCTGAACGTTGAGTTTTAAGCCAATTTTTTCACTCTCCTCTTTCACTTTCATCAAGAGGCTCTTTAGTTCCTCTTCACTTTCTGCTATAAGGATGGTGTCATCTGCATATCTGAGGTTATTGATATTTCTAACTATTGATATTTCTTCCTGACTGGCAATCTTGATTCCAGCTTGTGCTTCATCCAGCCCAGTGTTTCTCATGATGTACTCTGCATATAAGCTAAATAAGCAGGGTGAAAGTATATATGGTGATTGCAGCCATGAAATTAAAAGACCCTTACTCCTTGGAAGGAAAGTTATGACCAGCCTGGATAGCATATTTAAAA